CACAAATACCAATTAATAAAATGCCATCATGCCTAGCTTTCACATAAGGCATACATTTTATCGCTTCTTTTCATTTCTTTGCATTTTTGCCAATCCTATGCCAATACACAAGTCTAGACCTCTTTATAACCGTTGGTGTTCTTTAATTTAATCATCCATTCCCTTACGAATTTCCAACATAAATCATAGCATTTTACTTTAAAGGACCGTGGGCCTAAAATTAGAAAATCAATATATTTTTCCATGATTTCTTTTCAAACCATTTCACTTCATGACTTATCATTTTCATATTTTGAAACACACATATTTTATTTTAATAAAATATGACAACATCTTTCCCTAAACATCCTATATGTCGAATCCTTTAAGGGAATTTCCAAGGATCCTTCTCTTTTACAATACACTTTTCTCACTTAATTTAACAACTACACGTACATAAATATATATATATATATATATATATATATATATATATATATATACCACGTTCCAATTTAATTTTTGGGAATCTCAAGCTCTTTAAATCCTTCAAGGCCGAAACATCAAGGGTATGTTTCAAAGGATTTTCTTTCAAATTTAGCATTCTTACTAACTCATCAAATTTCCTCTTATTCAAGCACATTAAACCTTCCCAATACATACAATAAATCTTTGTGCATCACCCCTAATTACCCTATCAAGGCCGAAATCTAGGGTATGTCACCATGGGATTTTTTTCCAATTTTTATACATGTTCATATGCTTATTCCACATTCCTATATCCAATACATCATCAATCCATGATCAATTCAAATTTTAAACTAATTTATTTCACACCAACACATGCTCACAATTTCTATGACACAAACCATCAAAATAACATCATGGAAACAAAGGTTTCTTACCACTAATCAACTTCCCAAAGCCTAGAAAGCCACCTCCAAGCAAAACTCCACCAAAAATGTCATTTCTCTTCCTTGATGAATAGTGTCACGAAAATGGGGGGAGGAAGAACTCCTCACACACTCAACTATAGCTCAAATTGATCGGTGGAATGGATTCATTGAGTGGTTTCTAATCAATTTCATGTGGTGGGTCTTTGAATTTGGAGGATGGATGATGTAGAAATCAAAGAAGACAAAATGAAACCCTAAGCCCCATGTGAGAGCAGCCACTGGACGACAGAGAAGAATGAAGGAAAACGCGCAGGAAAGAGAAATTTAAAGGAGTTACAGTTTTTTTAAAGTTAACTTATTTTAACTGGGTAAAGATTTATCTATCTACACACCTCCATTCATTACCAAACTTTACCTAATGGACTAGAATATTTTTATGCTAATATTTATAATTTTACTTTTTGCTTTCGGGTAACTTTATTTACCCGCATTTTTACTTTTTAACTATCATTTTAACTCATTTTTCACCAAAGGTGACTTTATTTCTTTTACTTCTAATTATTCCTCGATATTAAATCCACAATTACTAGGAAGTGTTATTATAGTTGACCCAATTAGGAGAAATCAAGGCAAATTTCAAGGAGCTAACCCTTAAATATGGAGAGAAAGGAAGGGAGACTGTGATCAAAGGGGACCCTTCGTGTGTTAGGACAAAGATTTCTTATAAGTCCATTAATAAAGCACTCAGTGACCAAGGTCAGGGCTTTTATGTGAAGACAATAAAAACTGAAGCAGAGGGTGAAGCATAACAGTGGCAGGAGCTACATGAATTGCTAACAGTATTTGAAGATATTTTTTGTAACCTCAAGGAAGTCCCACCCGCCATACCAATAGATCATGCTATTCATCTTAAAGCTGGAAGTACAGTACCAAACATTCGCCCCTACAGGTATCCTCATTACCAAAAATCTGAAATAGAAGAGTTAGTTGCTGAGTTATTTGAAAATGGCATGATTAGATATAGTACTAGCCCTTATTCTAGTCCAGTGATCTTAGTTAAAAAAAGATGGGAGATGGCGTGTATGTGTTGATTATAGAGCGTTGAATAAAATCACCATACCAGACAAATTCCCAATGCCCATGGTGGATGAGTTATTAGATGAATTGGGAGGATCCCAGATTTATTCTAAACTGGATTTGAAATCTGGTTACCATCATATTAGGATGGGGGAAGAAGATATTCCCAAAACGGCCTTTCGAACACATGAGGGGCATTATGAGTATTTGGTGATGCCCTTTGGGCTAACCAATGCCCCATCTACTTTCCAAGCTTTAATGAATGATATTCTAAGGCCGTTTTTAAGGAAATTTAGTTTTTTTTTATGATATACTAGTGTACAACCAAAGTCAGGGGGAACACATTGACCATTTGAGAGCTATTTTGACAGTGTTGAAACAGAATAGTTTGGTGGCAAAGAAAAAAAATGCAGTTTTGGCAGGAGACAGATAGAATACTTGGGCCACTGTGTTTCAACATCAGGTGTGCAAGCTGACCCAGAAAAAATCAAAGACATGGTGTCTTGGCCCAGTCCAAAAAACATTAAGGGGCTGAGAGGGTTCCTAGGACTAACCGGATATTACAAGAGGTTTGTCAAAGACTATGGAAAAATTGCCAAACCTTTCACTGAATGTTTGAAGAAGGATGGTGTCAAATGGGATGAGGAGGCAGAAACTTCCTTTCAACTTTTAAAAAAAATGATGAGCTCTTTACCCGTGTTGGCATTACCAGATTTCAATAAGGTGTTTACTGTCACCACTGATGCTTCTGGGAAAGGTGTTGAGGTTGTTTTGATGCAAGACAACAGACCTATTGCTTACCTTAGTCAAGGATTCTCTATCCGGGCTCAAGCTAAGTCAATATATGAAAAAGAATTCATGGCCATAGTCTTTGTTGTGCAAAAATGGAGGCATTATTTGATGGGAAGACATTTTATCATCAAGACTGATCAGCGCAGCCTTAAATTTCTCACAGAGCAGCAAGTGTTGAATGAAGATCAACAAAAATGGATCTCAAAGTTAATGGGCTTTGATTTTGAGATTCATTATCAACCTGGGAAGATAACTTGGTGGCTGATGCCCTGCCTAGACAAATGTTTTTTGGGGTTATATCCAGAATCCAATGGGCTAAATTTGAGGTATTGGAATCTGAAATTCAACAGGATCCAAAACTCAAAGGCATCCTACAAGATTTATTAATAGCTGCTGATACTCATGTTGTTCTACAATGACCGATTAGTGCTGCCCAAGGGATCAAAATTTATTGGTCCTTTACTGCAAGAATATCATGATACGGGCATGAGAGGACATTTAGGTTACTTCCGGACTTTTAAACGGCTGGAGGGAGTAGTTTATTGGGAAGGAATGAGGAAAGATATCAAGGATTATATGGCTAGGTGTGAGGTATATCAGCAATGTAAAACTCAAAATTTAAATCCGGCAGGCTTGCTACAGCCATTACCAGTTCCTTCACAGGTTTGGGAGGACATCTCACTTGACTTTATTGGTTGTTTGCCAAAAGCAATGAGGCTGGACACAATACTAGTGGTAGTGGATCGTTTAACAAAACACGCTCACTTCCTTCCACTGAATCATCCTTATACAGCCTTGGAACTTGTTGGGCTGTTCATCAGGGAGATAGTTAAACTCCAAGGGTTCCCTACTACCATTACATCTGACAGAGACCGTGTGTTTCTGAGTAATTTTTGGGCTGAAATTTTCAAAAGTGCTGGTACCAAGTTACACTATAGCACCGCTTATCACCCACAAACTAATGGTCAAACGGAGGTCGTAAATCGGTGTCTAGAAGCTTATCTCCGTTGTTTCTGCTGCACTAAACCGAAACAGTGGCCTTTATAGATACATTGGGCCGAATTTTGGTATAATACAACGTTTAAAGATGCCATGGGTATGACTCCTTTTAAAGGATTATATGGCAGGGATCCCCCTACCCTTTTTAAGTGTGGCACTTTCATACCTGCCATTGATGTTGTTTCTCAGTCACTTCAAGAGAGGGACATTATTCTGCATGATTTGCAACACCACCTTCTCAAGGCTCAAGATCGAATGAAACAGTATGCAAATCAGCATCGCAGGAACTTCGAATTTACGGTAGGTGATTGGGTTTATCTCAAACTGCAACTGTATCGCCTCAAAACCATTGCAAGGAAGATCAATGAGAAACTTAGCCCACGATTTTATGGACCTTATCAAGTTTTGGAACGCATTGGAGGGACAACTTATAGACTGATGTTACCAAAAGAGTGTAAGGTTCATCCTGTGTTCCATGTAAGCCTTCTAAAAAAAGCTATAAGGACAGGTTCCACGGTACAACCCCTGCCAAGCATTTTAAATGCTGATTGGGAATTGAACATGGAACCTGAAGCACTGTTGGATGTGAGACGCTCAATGCAGGGTAATGTTCAAGGGGACGTTTGGTTGTGGAGAATTTTTTTGAATACTAGGGAAATGTAATTGATAGGAAAAAAAGTTGAAAATTGAGTTAGGTAGGAAAGTTAAAAAAAATTGTTTGGTTAAACAAAATTTTACTGGAAAAATTGAGTTAAATATATTGAGTCTATGTTTGGTTGAGATAAAATTTTGATAGGAAAATATGACAAAATTACGAAATAACCCTTATATAAACCTCTACGATCATCACTATATATTATCTCAAAACTCTAAACAAAGTATAAGCATGATTCTAGTATTTACCCAGTTTAGATTCTGCCCCTACTATTTTAAGTTTCATCATTATAATAGAAAAATGTAAATAAGTACTTCACAGTTCACAGTATATAGTTTAGTAACCCACATTCTCTCCCAAATATAAATAACTAGGTTGCAGACAATCATTCAGAGAACGACAAAGAGAGAGGAGATGCTTGCATGGATGTATTATTACCGATTGGAGGCATGTATTATTGCCATCCCTGCTTTACCCGTTGCTTAACTTCAATATAAATGACTTTGTGGACATTCTTGTAAACGGGGAAGACTTACAAATTGAGGCAACAAATGTAAAAGTACCTGAATATGGGTCCATAATGAATATTATATGATAAATAAATGTACACCTATAATTTAGACATAACGTTTTCAAAATACATAAATCAAATACAAAAATTATCCTACACATAATTACAAGACAAATTGGATGGCCTTGTCTAAAACAATGTAAACATAAGTAAAACATGGCTATTTTATTTTATTTCAGTATCACCACGCTATGTCAACTGATGCCATCAGATGGTAGTTGTTAGTAGCAAGCTACGGTGTAGGCGAGAAATCATCTCAAGACCCAATGGCAGAACTGAAAGCCACCATGATGGTCATGTAATTTCAGAAGCTTAACTGCTACAGCTCAACTATGAACTTGTACATTCCTATCAGTCACTTTCTGCTTAGCTTTTCATCAGCTCCCACACAGTTTACGTGTTATGGCAGCAAATCTAAATTTGGAATCATAGATCATAAGTTCACCTCCAGTGTTTTCAGAACCTGTATGTTAGAATCATAAATCCTCACATATTTGATTTTGTGAAGTTGAACTAACTGTGCCACCTTATCAGGTGTAGGGAGGTCATCAGCATTTTAGAAATACACAGAAAATGCTAGCTCTATTAGTTGTATCTGCAACCCAAAACAAACTTTTTTATTTGCAATTTATGTGGTTGGTTAATGATGGTTAGATGAACATGTGACTTGTACCACACAAATGAAAAGAAATAGATTACCCAAGTCATTTCAAGGGATTAATGCCTAGGAAGAACACAAGATATATCATACTCTAATAAAAAAAATTGGACTTCAACCACTCTTTCAAAAAAAAATTAAGTAATCCAGCTCTGTATATTTTTTTCAGTCCATAGTTTTTTTTTTTGAGTTCTGCTCCTCGATTGCTGTGTTCCATAATGGTATCATTACCCAAACTTTGGCTGGACTATATAATATAAATGAGGAGGAATATCTAAGTTGTTAGATGTCAGTTTTATTTAGTGGCTTACATGATTATTAATAAATTACAATTGTTAAATACAAGTAGCACTTTAGTGTAAAAATTATTATCTTACACTAATGTAAGTGATCCTAATACACATTCAGCTATAAAAACATTACGTGCAAACCATATACTACTTAAAAGTACTCCAGGCTATTTTGTAACTTACGTAAATGGTTATGCATAAATGTAATTAAATAGCATAAGTTTTTAAATGGTTATGCATAAAAATGAAGAAGTGGGATTATATATTTAGACTCATTTTTATTCATTTAATTACACTCTTTTGTAATTATTTTCATAAGTTTTTAATTTATTATGCATAAATAGGTGTGTTATGACATAATATAATTAAAATTTAATGTGTTTTTATCCAACCAACAATGTGTATAGTGCACCATATTCATAGGTTTATCAATCAAGTGTATTAACCATTGGCTTTTTGGCTAACTTCTATTAGGTTGGATCTTCAAACTGAAGTTTCATGGGTAAAAACCATGGGGCTGTGTGGGACACAAGAAACATTAAAAATAAACATCACGTTAAATGCCTAAAGAAAGATGTATATGAGCATCAAGAAGAGAGCAAAAACAAAAATTGATCTCAAGGAAAGAAAAATAAGAGGTAAAAGAAAAATAGAAAGATATTCTGTCACTCACTAGGGATAGGTACAACATCCTCCCCTTGTTGGAGTACCCATGTTAATGCCAACTGAGCAGGAGTGGCCTGATGCTTCTTAGCTAGGCTTTCAATCCGATCATATATACTCTTGTTCTTGTCCAAGTTCTCTGCTTGGAAGCCGGGATGTGCAGTCTGATATGTGAAATAAAAAAAAAAAAATAACATGTATTCTTTTTACCAAATAAAAAGTTTAATTTTTATTCTATTTTGAGCATCATTGATGTGAAAAAAACAAATAAGGATGGAATCTCCTCCATCGTTACTGTAGTCTAAACATACAAGTATTTTTGCAATTGAAGGACATATACAAGTTGTACAAAATAAAACAACAAACTAAACAATATTTGATTCAAGATTAAGAATTGATCATTGCTATTTAATGTTTTACCACACCTAATAACTCCATGGTATGCAGCAGAAACACATATTTAAGATTTAAGAGCTAAAATGCTTTACCAGGGAGCTAACTGCAGGCACATTTTCCACAACTCCTTTGCCGCCAAAAAAGCCACGACCAAGAGGACTATATGGTACAACTCCAATACCAAGCTCCCTGTATTAATCAAAGCATTAAAAAAATGAAGTCACATTAAAACAAACATGCTGCCAACAACAACTAAACCCTTTTATTCTAGCCCTCTTTTCAAGTAGCTTATAATTTAAGAGATTGTTCATATTAATTTTTAATGAAGAAACAGTCATGAGAGCTGTACTCTTATGAACATGGAGAAGAACTCAAACTTACCGACAGAGAGGAACTATCTCCTCCTCAACATCACGAGTCCAGAGGGACCACTCTATTTGTACAGTTGTGATGGGATGAACTGCATGAGCTCTCTATTATTATGAAAGGGATTTGATGGCACTATATCCGCATAAACACCATGCCCACTAGATATCATTTTCCCCAAGTCAATAAGAACAATAATTTGAAAACACAAACTGAAAAAATACCTTATTTCAAACTTATTTGAACACTATCCATGCTTAAAAATCTGCTTAATTCATAAACTCTTTGCAGTACCTGTAACAACAATTGCCTTGACATCTTCTCTCTGTAAAGACTGATCATAACTCTCCTTTAAATTGTGGAATACTAGTGATAGCGAGAGGCGCAAACAAATAAGCCAATGTAATTTAATATGAGAAATGCAAAAGAAATATATGAATAAAATAGGAACAATAGTTACTATCAGAAAATAAATAAAGTAAATAAAAGCTTTAGTCTTTCATATATAAGAAAAAATGAGTATGGGAGTATTGAACGAAAGAAGCAGATCCATGAAAGAAAATAAGAAATTAAAAAGGAATACCATCAAAGGAGGGGGAATTCACAGGAGGGTTGATGATGGCTACCCCATCAGCTCCAACTTCTACGACTGTGTGCCCCTTCTCTCTGCTACCCATTGTTTTCCTCTTCCTGCTTCAATTGACTAATTCTCAATTTGTTACAAGGAACAATCAGTGTAGGAAACGATTCGAGACCACTGGTATCAAGCTTCATGGTTGCAGATTAGTGACCTAACCGAGAACAAAGAAAACAACCTTAATATTCCCTTAAATCCAAAATTAAAAACAAAATAACACAAAATAAAAATGTGGGGAGAAAATAGAAAGCAAGAGTCATAGGTAAAGCAGATATTTCTGGAAAGCAAACCACAATAAGCAACTCAATGATGCTTACGTTTCGGTTTCAAACCACACAGAGGAAGAGTGTGCTCATTTCGAACATGCAAAACCACTTCCCGGTCGCCGTTTCCAGATTTGCTCTTCAAGCCCCACACGAAGGAGGAGCTTTTGCAGTTATGTACTCAGGGTGCTGCTAAGCAACTATATCTTTCTTCGCGCTTTAACGAGGGTATTTTGGTCTGTAAATGGATGTCATTCTTACCATTTCGCCGGTTAACTATAGAATACCACCATCAATTTGTCTTTCAGAACAACGATTTGTAGTTGCTTTTTAGGTACTGTTTGGGTGAAGGTTTATCGTGGGATTGATGGAAAAGTGCAAGTAAATATTAGAAAATAACACGTTTGGTTCAGGTTTTTTCAAAAAATACTAGGCAAATAGGATAGATGGAGAAATGACTTTTGTGTTGATTTTTAGATGAAATTCACTATTACAGAATACCCACCCACTTGAGATGTGGTATTTTGAGATAAATGGGCAAGTGAAAAAATGCGAAGTTTCTCCCAAACATAGATTTTGCAAATTTAAATAAATTCTCTTGGTAATATTTCGATCAACCAAACAACTTTTTTTACATTTTCCTACCAAAGTCACCTTCCAACCATTTTCTCAGTAATTACATTTCTCTAGTATTCAAAAAATTTCTCCTCAACCAAACGTCTCGTAAAACATTTTTCGATTGCTATGCAAATATAAGAGCTGGGGAAATATTTCAAAACCCTCTACCAAACTTGGACGTCACACTTTCCCAAAGTCAGATGCATATGTAAATCTTTGAAAATCCTCAACCAAACGCCCCAAGTGCTAATTCGATGGAGACATTTGCCTGAGTTTGAAAGCTCTCGGGAAGAATTTGAACTCATCAATCTTCAATTCCCTCAGTTCAACCTTGAGAACAAGGTTCTTCAAATGGGAGGAAGTATTGATACAATTCAGATAAAGCAATACAAAAGGGATAAAGAGAGGAAGGTGTGGAATCAAGCCCGAGCCCAAAGGACCCAATCTGATAGTGGACTGATAGCTCGACAAAGGAAACAAGCATGCAGTGCAATAGAGCTGCCACGTCAGCTAAAGATTACCCAAATTACCCCGTAACAGAATGGGGAGAGTGGGAATGCATGGAAGGTAGTTATAAAGGGAAGAAGGAAAGAGAAGAAAAATGGGAGAATCTGGATTGGCCCTTGATTGGGAGTGGGAGAGCGTGTAACCTCTACAATTGTTGCACAATTATCTTTAACTTACTGTTGTTTTCCTTTTCATTGTAATTCAGTAATTAGTGCAGCTTGACTCCATAGTTGAGCGAGCTTTGGTTATTGTAATTTTCTTTTAATGAATATATAAGAAGAAAACTGATGTTATTCAGGCATATCATTCCTGTTTGTTTATAATTGCTGTTAAATGGGAATGGGTTTGTATCAGTGTCCCACCTCTTTGTAAGAGTGAAATGATATAAGTTGTGTCATTTAAAAGAATAAATATTTTTTCCTTCATTAATTGACCTTGATAATAGCAATACATACGAGAGAGTTTTTTAGGTGCTACCAAAGCAAGTACAATTTAATGTGTACGAGTAAGAAGCGTATCTCACTGAGGTTGATATGTAGGTCATCAGTGCATCTCACTTTAACAACATTTTTTCTAATGTTGTTAAATGGGTACAGCGTCTAAGAATTTTATCAAATGGGCTCTGTATAAATAGCCATGAATCTTTTATTTTACATTGTTACTCTATTAACTGCTTTAGGACCATAAGCCACTCAGGATAAGTGACATTAGTAAGAAGTGAAACAAACTAAAGTTACATTATATTATTTGCTTCGTGATCAAATCCCATCATCATAAGGAAATGAAGTAGACTCAAGCCAAGCATCTCCACTAATGAACTCTGAAACTGAGAAGTTATATGCATCATTGTAATCCATTAAATGGTACCCAAGCCATTCTACACGATTATCAGTCCTTGAACCAGGTCCATAATTCTCATACTCTGCGTAATACAAAGTGTGCAATCCTTGATCATTAGACCACTTTGTCCAACCCTTTGGGTCAATAAAGTCACCAATGTAGGACTCAAGGAAAACAGTGCGAGAATACACCCTCCATGGCCTCCCAAGGTAGCTCTTGAAGCTGCTAGAGTTGGAATATAAATCATTTGTAGCTATAATTGAGCAATTTTGGATTGAGATACCAGTGTCCTCATTTGGGTTATCTCTTGATTGTGCTGTAATGACAGTGAATTGGCCAGGTAATGGCATTCTTGATACAATGTTGCATTCTTGTAGAACCACAGCTGCATTACCAAATATGAAATCTACGGTTCCATAAATGTCACACTCTCTATAGAATTGTCTAAAGGAGTGAACATAAAGAGTGTCTTGGTAACCATAAATGGCACACCTGTAAAATGCAGTCAAGTCTGCATTTACCCTCAAGGCAACTGCTTGATGCTTCTTTGGTCCTGCACTGTTCACAAATGCTATATCACGTGCCAGAAAGCCATCACCAGAGACGGCTGAAAAACAAACAACAGCATAATCATCCAATTGCCATAATGGAAAAACATCAGAGAAAATTGCCGTAAAAATAAGCCCAAATCAGTCTTTTTTTGTTATTCCTCTGATTTGTGTCTTCCCAATACATTATAACAAGTGAGTTGCACAAAATTAAGGTGAGTAACCTTTAGTTTGATACACGTTACCATTTCTGAACACTACAAGGCACGTCCAAATTCATAGATATTTCTGATTTTGATAGTTTAGAATTTGAAAAGATGTAGGACAAGTAAAGCTCAAAGAGTGAAGACAGAAAAAGAAAAAGGGTACACAAAATTCACCTAGAGTTGCAGATCTGAAAGTGGTCCAGCCATCAACGACGCTTCTGTTACCGGTTATGACAGTGACATCACTTCCATCTCCAAGCATAACCATGTTGGTTTTAGAACTTGGGATTTCAACATATTCCTCGTAAATCCCTCGTTTGACATAGATCACTGTCCTATCCACGCTGTTATTTGGAGCATAGTTGATGGCTTCAGTGATGCTGCTAAAGTTCCCAGTTCCATCAGCAGCCACAACAAGCACTTCATTTGGATTATATTCTTCCCCATCTAAGCTTTGCAAGAGGTCATGTTCTCTGCTTGGAGACCAAGTTGGAGCACTCATCAAACGCCGGTTCTTGTGGCCTTTGGGAACCTTAACCCCTGGCTTAGAGAGCACTGAAAGAGAATTACTAACATGCTTGTAAGTGTTAATCACAGAATTTACCAGAACTGGCTTCAGGGTACCAGAAGCAGAATCTAGGCCTTCTAGACACGTGTTCTTGTTTGTGAGTGCTGCACTGAGGTAGGCTCTTGCATCAACTAAGTTCCTTGAGTTTTGGGAACGAATTGTAGATAATGATCTTTTTAAAGAAGCCAAGGTGGATTGGTGGAGTTCTCTACAGTCTTGAACTGCTCCTCTTTGCTTCTCTATGATGTTTGATTGTCCAACATTTTGGAATAGAATAGAAAGCTTTGTGGCTTCAGATATTGCTACTTGGAGGGACTGAAGGAGATAGGTGATGATGTTTGGACTTATATTTATTGAGATGGACAGCTTCAATGAATTATAGCAAACTTCTGGGTATGGGGTAGTTCTGCAGAAAGATCCTAAGGAAGAGAGTTTGGCATGAAATTCTGTGGAAGTATTGGAAGAGTGGACAGCACAAGTATTTGAGAAGAAGATTGTAAGTAGAAGGAAGAAGAGTTTATTAGATGAGGAAGCCATGAAATGTTCATGAATCATGAACTATTTTGATGAAAAGTGAGGGAAAGTAAGCAAAGGTGAAGAAGTTGAGTATTTGATTCATTTAAATAAGGCATTTGGGGTTGGAGAGTAATGGGGACATTGATTAGAATCTAAAATAACACGGGTTTTGAACTTATTCTTGCACTAAACTAACAATCCACTGTTTGGGGGAACCTATTTTTGTTTTTCTTGTAAGCCAAACTTTTTATTAAATAAAATAAGAGGCAACCAACAAAGTCCACCACAGTTGGTAGATAGCTGGATTCCTTAAACATACAGGGGTTCGATCCTTGACCGTGCGTATGGAAAAAACTTTGTTAAAAGAGATTTATCCACTTAATATGATCTCCCGCCTCAAAAGGATTAGTCTTCGACTATTGGCAGGAGGATACCTTCAAACCAACAAAAAAGAAAAAGAGGCAAATTGTGAGGAAATAAAAAAAGTAAGACTACTTTCTAGGTGAATTGTTTGTAGCGAGTTGCTCTTGAAAGATAATGTAAAATTATCATGAATGTCTCTGAAAGAGAGTAATGTCAGACAGGAAGGCATTGGCTGCATGTTAGGTCATTTCAGTATTAGTTTTTTGGAGCTAGCTGTGAAAATAATGCAAGGTGTGGTGCTCCAAAGCTGCAAAGTACTTGAGTTCAGCAGTTCTATATTGGTATGTTTCTGAGGCACTGTCCAATTACCCATTTGTGTTCTTTCTCAGTTTCATCACCACTCTCATATAATTTCCTAGTCACTCGGGTAAACCAAAGATTCGGATTTGAGTTGTGACAATAGGCAACTTGCTGCAAATCAAGTACTACTGAAATTGAACCATCCTTGGTGACTGACTATATTTATTTTTCTTTAGGAGAAAGTGAATGATTGAATATGGCAACCCGTGAAGCCACTTCAAATGTTGGGTTACCCCACAAGATAATTGTTACCATTAAAAAAAGTAATTAGCTATATTGCTTCACTCCTTCCACTTTATTACAATTTTAATAATTGATAATCAAACGATAATGCTTTATTAAATTGCATGGACAAAAAATTTAAAATATTACACTTTTAATAATTAATTACGATTTGGTAGAAGTTTAGACACTATTTTTGAATTTATTGCAGTCATTCACGCCCAAATTAAGCGTGACTATTCACGTCTAAATTAGGCGTGACTCCCAAGACATTCACGCCCAAATTAGGCGTGACTCGTCTGGTGTTGACACGTGGCCCAAAAAATTAATAGTTTAACCGTAAAACTTTATAAGGCCATAACTTTTGACTCGAGTATCCGAATGAGGTAATTCTTTTTTTGATTCCACATAACTTTTCGAGATCTACGCAATGACATCTCATTTGATATATTTTATCTCTCACAAACACAATTCAAATTTACAACAATGATACTATAAAGATGGCACCAAAGTGAATTAACTCATCTATAAATAAGATGGCACCAAATTTTCTATTAAATACAAAACGCAATCAGCTCCTATTAAATACAAAACGCAATCAACTCCTTTAACATTAAATTCAAAATTCAAATAACCACCAGCAAATTTATTCGAATTGGCGACAATCTGTAACCAACTCATAAAATTACAACGCAATCAGCTACTATTAAATACAAAACACAATGAACTCCTATTAAATACAAAATGCAATCAACTTATTGGAGGTTATTTGAATTTTGAATTTTGAATTTAATGTTATAGTACCATTATTGGGCGTGAATGAATGCAATATATTCGTAATTAGGTTCAAAACGGCAACTTATTCGTAATTATTTATTAAAAAAGCAATATTTTAATTTTTTTTTCCTCTACCAAGTGTTTGAAAAAAAATAGTGTACAAGGTTATTTATTTAATTATTAAAATATATACAAATTTATATAAAATATATACAAATTTATATAATATTCTACCAAGTGTTTAGAATATTTATTTAATTATTTTCTTTATTAATACAGATTTTTCAAATTGATTTTTGAGTTTAAATCACAAATTAAATCTTTATTTTGTTTTTCTTAATAATAATAATAATTTTTAATTTTTTTTTTGGTAATACACTATATAATACAATTATTGCAAATTTGAATTGTGTTTGTGAGAGATAAAATATATCAAATGAGATGTCATTGCGTAGATCTCGAAAAGTAATGTGGAATCAAAAAAAGAATTACCTCATTCGGATACCCGAGTTAAAAGTTATGATTTTCCAAAGTTTTACAGTTCATAAGTTGACTTTTTTTTCCATGTGTCAACACCAGATGATTCACGCCTAAATTAGGCGTGAATGCCTTGGGAGTCACCCCTAATTTGGACGTGAATGACTGCAATAAATTCGAAAATAGTTTCCAAATTGCTACTAATTCATAATTAATTATTAAAAGTATAATATTTTAATTTTTTTGCGAAATTGCATGTAAGTGTGTAATTATTCCTTTGAACCTATTTATGCTTCCTTAGTTCCTAGGTTGTATAAAACATATTATGCAACTTTGTCTCGTGAAATCACAAGTCAGAATATTCAAGTAGTCAAGCGTCACGCTACGTTGTCCCCAGACCTGCCAAAATTTCACGTGAAGAGAGATTCCTTGTTGATATTATTAATATTTATATTTGCAGCACAACCCCGAAAAATAAAATAAAATTATAGCTATAGCCTATAAGCACGATATTGTCTCTTATCCATTCACATGAAAGAAGAGCAAAAAAGGGGGAAAAAAATACCCCAAAAAAACTAAAAAAGTTTTTGTCCTCTCTAATTCCCTATGATTTGCTCATTTAGCATGCTTCCTTATGTACAAAATTAACTCAGTTACCCAAACAACTGAATTGTTATCTAATAGTAAACAACATAACGAAATTGCTGTTTTCATGGTTTATTTGCTCAAATCATTTAACTTTATCACGGCTAGTCATAGTAATGACTTCATGGTTTATTTTCTATAGTGAATAGTCCTATACACCGATCGTTTTATGAGTTTAAATTCTTTTTGGTAAACCATTTTTTAGAGAGATAATCACAAATTTTATTATGCAATGATTCATAATAACAAATTACAAGATTCACTAATTATATTCAAAACAAATTATATATTTATCTCTTAACTAAGACCCTCTCATGTAAAAGGATAGGATCCGGATCCATTTTATGCTCCTTATCACAAAACGAAATATATTTTTTTGAGTAAATATTATTTTGGGTCCTCAACAAAAAATACATAACTTTTTTTAATCCATTACAAATAAAAAGTCAATTTGTGATTCCTCTGAAATTTCAGTTCTTTGAAATTGTGGCCCTTCAAAAATTCAAAGAAGACCAATGTTAATCCCTAAAAAAACTAATATAGATACTTTTTTTTCCTGAATAATTAAAATGGGTTATGTGTTTTATGTTGAGAATTCAAAAGGTATTCACTCTTTTTTTTTTTTTTTTACAAATGCTTAAGAGCTGATCAAATAAAAAGTTTCAATACATTTCAGTAATGTAGAAGTAACATACACTTTCCAGTTTTAACTAGTGGTTTTGAACTAGAACCTAGGTATATTGTAATGCCCCGTTATACACCTGGAAACGTTAACATTAATTATGATATTAAGTGCAGTTAATTTCACATTGGTTCAATTAAAAATACTGATAAACTTTTCCTTTAAAAAAAAATCTTGTTCGTTTTCCTTTTCAAACATTACCGTATTTAAAATAACCAATTACGTAATTATAACAGTGTGACGTGCGGAATAACTAAATCCTTACTTAATATCATATTATTCTGTATTATACATAATTATAAGGGATCCTTACACCAACATGAGGTATACTTTTATTTTTCAACAATAGGGGTAGCGCGCTTAAGCGCCCCCCTCTCTAGAGGGCTTAAGCCCCTTGTGCTACCCAAAATTTATGTTTGAAGAGCGAGCTTGACACGAGCTGTCGAACTCGCGCAAATTAAAAATTAATTCTTTAGGGTTCAGAAAATTTGCAGTAAAGTGGAAACCCTAAGTCGTCTCTCAAGGAAATTGTTTTGGTTAAAATCGCTTATGAGAACAAAAAATTAAAAGGGGGATTTTGGATTTTGATTCAATAATTAAAAAGGCAGAATATACATTTGGAATAAAAATTCGTAATTAAAAATAACCAACCTAAGGTTTGGGTTCCATGGACGTCTTTCCTCGGATAAGAAGATATCAGAATCGTGATTGATTTGTCAATCGGATCAGAATCCTTATTTCCAATTGACAACCCTCTCTAAGCGATCGCTTAGCATTTGATCAAAGACGATGCTTCTACTCATACAATCGCAGAGTATCAGCCCGCTTGATTTAAGGTCATAGGGTCAATCAACCTAATCATCAAATCTGATGATTAATCCCTTTCCATAATCGCAATCGCGAACCTCAGATTGAATATCCACGATCGCACGATATCAATTTGAGTTGGGAAGGGAAACAAAACTGATTTGAAATAAACGCAGATCCTCAAGACCAATCCATAGAATCCATTACCCTTAGGTTGATTAAAAGGTTCTTAGCCTCGCATGGCTAAGGTAAACATAATTGAAATAAAAAGAAGAAGAAGAAAAAAAAAGATGAAGAGCGCAATTGAATAAAAACTCAGAGAGAACTTCTCTGTTGTAAAAACTGACTACCAAGGGTTTCTAGTCCCCTTTAAATAGCCGTCACGCAGGACGGCTAGGGTTTCATCGCTTCAGCCCAAACATAAAATAAAAGCTGAATAAAATAAAATAAAATAATAAAACATGGTCTTGGGCCCTAAACACATTGGGTCCTAATGAAAATTACAAGTTCAAATGTCAAAATAACATTCCAGCAAAACACGTCATCTTGAGATCAAGTTTCGACCATCTTCCCGTCCGATTTGGGCTTCAGTAGATGAAATAGAAATTGTAGCCCTATCTGTTAGCTGCAAAAAGCAACAAGAATGGAGTCAATCGGACATCTGTAGAGTGAGATATGGTTAAAATAC